CTGGAGCCAGACGGGAGTGTCTGGCTCAGCAAGACAGGTTGCTGGAGTCCTGAGCTGGCAGGGAAAACAGGAGCAGGGGTAGTCTTTTGCACATCAGATGGCAGCTCCCAAGGGGGTTTCTGTGATCCAACCTGTCACAGATGTGAATGAGATTTCCATGCTTGCCTTGTCAGGAAGTTTTTAACTGAGAAGGTATTATTATCCCTACTTACAGATGGGTAAGTGAGGTGCAGAGAAATTAAGTAATTCATTCAAAGTTACAGAAAAAAGTCTATAGCAGCACCAGAAAATGAATACTGATCTTCTGAGTCCCTGTTGAGTACCCTAACCACAAGATCATCTGTGATAAATGAGAGGTGGGAGCCCCCTCTTATGGACACTCAGTGAGCTATAAAGTCCCTCTTGGTGGCTGTTCTCTGCTTACTTTACCTGAAAAGGGTTAAAAAAGTCCCCCAGGTAAAGGAAAGGGGTTGTTAAGGCACCTGACCAAAAGAGCCAATGGGAAGGCTAGAACTTTTTAAAATGGGGAAGAAACTTCCCCTTTGTGTCTGTGGTTGTTCTCTGGGAAAGAGGGGGAACAGGGAGTAGTTATGCTATGAGAAGCTGAAGGCCAGATATGAAAATCATCAGATCATATCAAGAACTACTTATTTAACAATCCAGATATGTAAGTAGATCATGAATGTTTAGAAAGGTGCGATTAGGTTTATTTCTTATTGGCTTGTGGACTCCTCTGTGCTAACCCCAGCTGCTGTTGTTTGCTTGTAACCTTTAAGCTGAACACCCAAGAAAGCTACTTTGGGTGCTTAATTTTGGAATTGCTCTTTTAAAATCTAGCAATAGCTTGAGTTTTCAGATGTATTTTCTTTCTTCTTGTTTTTAATAAAATTTATCTTTTTTAAGATTAGGATTTGGATTTTTGAGTCTTAAGAGGTTTGTGCACATGTTTTTTAATTAGCTGGTGGTAATAGCTGATTTCCTTTGTTTTCCTTTCTCAGCTCTTCCTGCGGGGGAGGTGAAAGGGCTTGAGGGTACCACACAGGAAGGAATTCCCAAGTGCGCCTTCCTGGGTTCTAAGGGGTTTTGCATTTGGGTGGTAGCAGCATCTACCTATCCAAAGTCAGAAAGAAGCTGTAACCTTGGGAGTTTAATACAAGCCTGGAGTGGCCAGTATTAATTTTAGAATCCTTGCAGGCTCCCACCTTCTGCACTTGAAGTGCCAGAGTGGGGAATCAGCCTTGACATCCATCCTTCCTCCTCCTCCTCATTCACTCCAATTCTGTCTGACAGTGGAGTGCTGATTCAATGTGCTTCCTGCAGCATAGCCAGCAATTTAGGGGCAGTATAGGCAGTGTCTGGTCACTAAAACATTGTGGAACAGATTTATTCCTGAAATAAATGGGAGCAACTGGGCTATGCCAAGGCTGAATTTGCCTCTGTATCCATTGTGCTGTATTTTTATTTTGCCATTTTGCTGAATAGGATGAGAAGCTTTTTGGTAAACTGTACCCAGTGAACACCATAGAGTCCAGCTCTACAGCAGCTTCCTATATACTGTTACACATGAGGTCTTAGAATCATTGAGTTGGGTAGAGTCCGGGTCAATCATATGCCAGGACACAGATCCATCAACCATTGCCTTCTGTAGAGAAGTGATGCAAAGGCCACAGACCCAGAATATTTTACTCTTGACTGTGGAGTGGCTCTGCTGCTACCTCACACTGCAGTACCTACACCATGCATGAAGGGGCCCCAACGTCTAGCACTCAGAAGACAAATTAAGGCAAAGATGTTAAATCATGTGTAGGGCTTTGTGCTCTGCCCTGTGGGAATTTTCACCCATTACACTATTTAAAAGAGAAAAAATAACAAGTTTGGCCTTAAAGTACTTGTGGATACCCTTTAAATGAAGATGAGTTTGTTTTCAGTTTCCCAGTTGCCTTATATTGTGTTTATATTCAATTTCCTAATTCTCTGCCACATTTTTGGACGTGAGCATGCCAATCTCTGAAAAAGAAGGGGGAGGATGCCGTGACTTTATATGCTTCTTAAAAGTATTGCCTCTGAAAGGATCACTGCAGTTGGCATTAGTAAACATTTCAATGTCATTGCCAGAAGCACCATTTTCAGGAGTGAGTAATACTTCCATCATCTTACAAAATGGTGACAGACATCAGTTCACATGTATTCAAATCAGCTAAGTTTTCTTGGGACCTCTGAACATACTGTCTCGAAGATACCTGAAAATTGCTGTACGAGAGTGACCTTGTCTAGTTTCCTGTGTGTAAATGAAAAGACTAACTGTGCCATATTTATTAATAACTTTCTATCCTGTTTTAAAAGAAAAAGAGCCAAATCCACTTTCAAAACCTTTGCATAGCCCATTTACATCTTACACAAAATAAGCCAATAGGCTAGTAGAGGGATACATACAAAACTATCATCCAGAATTTCTATGAAATGATGAAATCCTGTCTTTATTGTTTGAAGTCATGATGAAGAGAACAGTATTGAGCCTTGTGTTGGTTACAAGACCTTCACTGCTGGCTCTGAGCAAGAAGCTCCCCCACTTGGTGGGATGCACATTGCTTCAGGTGCTCCAGATTGTCAATGTGCCTGGCCATGCCTTCTAGCCAACAGACCACAACACTTTGGGAGTCATGGTTCTCTAGCCATCGTATTATCAGAATCTGCTCTCCAGAATTCTCTTGGGAATCTTGCACTGCTGTGCATAGGGGAAGAGGCTTACTAGGTCCTATTCTCCCTACTGGTGAACCTGAGAAGAACAAAATAGGATAAAGCCCACAGTTTTATAAACAAATTTCAGTAAACACTTTCAAGAAATGGTCTAATCATGTTCCGTTCCTTTGGTGTAATAAGATTAATCATGATGCACTCAATCAGTGCTAATGTGGATGTTATGAGTATCTGTGTAGGACTGCCTCTGTAATTCAGCATTAATTAGCTGAATCATTATTTTAGAGTGTTACTGAATCATCTTACAATTACCACCTAACTTGGTGCTTGTAAATGAGACAACAGAAGGAAATTATTTTAAAGGGTATAATAAACATACCATTCTGTCTTCTTTAGACAGTTCTTCATTATAATGTTCTGTGAGATGTAAAGCTAGTGCCATTGCTTCCACCTATACCTTGTGGATTTATTAACTGTAGTCATTTTGAATGAAAATGAATATTATTCAGGTTTATTACTCAGTAACTTATCTTCATGAGCACAAAGGTAACCATGTTGCTTCTTCACCAACCTAACTCTAAGGACAATTAAAATTCCTCTGTCCAAAATTCCTCTGTGATAGAAGGAATCATCTGCTGATTCCCGTAATCTGTTTTGTTAGTATCCCATCTTCTCTAATTCCCATCACAATCAGACCTAGTCATTATACACTAAAAAGCCCCATTCCTGCTTGGATGAGGTACAGATTTGTAGAATTCCACATGCATTTTATTGTCACTAATCACGTTCCTTTATACATGTATTTTGGGAGAAAATTTATCAAAGTATAGCATGTATTGCAAATGATAATGTACCATATGCTCCTGCCTTACATGTGCTGAAGTAATAGCAACCAAAAGAACTGTCAAAGCAAATGGAAAAAAGTTTTAGAGCATCTGATTGGCACAACCCAATACTCAGCTGCAGCATACATTTAAAAACAGATTCTGACTAGAACTCACCAAAAGAACTTGGAAGCATAGTTTATTCACCAGAAAATGCAAACAAATTCACCAAACAGTTTTGGCCCCCCAAAAAATTTGTTTTCAAGACTTAGGCTCCATTCACAAAGTGGTGTGAGACGGAGGAAGTCACGATGGTTCTGCTACTGCCTCCTTTCTAAGCTTTAGCCCAGTGATTAGGGCACTCATCTGGGATGTGGGGCCTTGGGTCCAATCCTCCTGTCTCTGGAGAAGGAGATCCAAGTTCAGATTCTATCTGTACAGGCGAGTGCTATGAGATATTCTGCAGGTGAGCCTCTCTCCTGTTGAGCTGTTCCCCTCTCTATAAAATACTTGACTAGTCATTGATCCAGAAAAATTAGCATGAGAATGATTCTGTAACCTAGTGGTTAGGACACTCCTTGGGAAAATAGGACCCAGGTTTATATTGCTGCATCTTCCAGTCATTTTGTGACTCTAGCCCTTCATTTCCTTTCCTTTTCTTTTAAAAAGTGCCCAGAAATGAAATGTTCAGTTTGACCCAAATGAACTTTTTGTTGACTTTTTTGATTTACCAAAATCTTTTGGAATTTTCAGATTTGATTCAAATCAATTTGTTTTTCAATTTTTCAGAACTTTCAATGAACCAAAAAATCAGTTATTCACTCTACTCTAATTTGGACATTTTGCTCAGCCTGCATGTGTACAAGAGAAACAACTGAGTGCATAGAAAAATAGCATTTATTAAATCATCTTCTGAGTGTGCATACATATATTTATAAAAGAACAAATACAAAGAGGCATTTTAATAAATAAACCTCCTTTAATTCTCAGAGTTTCCACAGTCACTCTACTTAGGCAAAAGAGAATATTTAGAAGATCAACAAACTTGGGTTCCATTAGACCACTTGGGGAATAAATGTTGTGCAACAAGTTATACTAGGAAGCAGACATTTCTTTCATGCTTTAGTTTTTCAGGGTATTTTCAGAGATTTGCAGCAGACGTTTATAGTCTGAATACTCTTGACTATCACATGCTTCTTACGTGGGAGTCGCTGGCATATCTGAAGCCTCTCCCTTAATAGTGTTTTGCAATGAGGTCTGAGGGCATTAAAGTACTTAAGCAGCTAAGTAATCCTAAAAATGAAACAAAAATCAATATGTAGATATGAAAAATTAAGATAGATACTTGAAAAATCTTTGTCATGGACATATTTTTGGCTTTCCTGTCCTTGATACTACATCCTGTGCAGTACTGAAATAATGAAATAGTTTATTGTGAGTGATTCTGGATGTTGCTCATGCACCCAAAGTATGAAATATTAAATCATACTTTCCCTTAATATTTACAGAAAGATGTGATTTTCATATCCTGGCATGTTTGTTATTTTGAGACTAAGCCAGTTATTTATTAGGGTTTACTCTGTAGTTCCTAGAAAAAGAGAATATTACTATTGTAATTGCTCTTCTTACTAGAATCATGATAGCATTCACTCCTCATAGAATGTGGCTTAAATCATGAGGAGAAAACACAGTACAGTTAAACAGTTTCATGGTAAACATAGCTTACAAAAGATAAATGAGCTACACGTTACCATGATTTCACAGGTGACAGGTGATTTTTCTTGTGTTTACCAAAATGAGCTTTCCTATCTGTGATGAGGTGTAAAGCCCACAAAGGCAGAGAAAGAATTAAATGGAGCTAAAAACCATTAGTTCACCTGGCTGCATGGAGGAGGGGGGGGAAGGCAATTTAGGATTAGGCCCAATTTAGGATTAGGCCCAGTGGGGAGAAGTTAGATGTCTGAATTAAGGATGAGTCCCAACTGAGAGGAGCATTGGTGACTAAGAAAGGAAGAACTTCCTGGCAGTAGAAAAAGGCCAGGAAGTTGTGGGTGATAGTAGGGGCTGGGATAAACTCCCGAGAAGACAAATACCAGTAAATAGCTAAGTGAGAAAGTGGAAAGTTACAGAAGTAGAGTGAATGTCTGTGGTGAGTCTTGACAAAAGGATGAGGTGCCAGGAGGCAGACTGGGGGTTGGTTTGTTTTTGTTTTGTTTTTTCTGGAGGAAATACAGAGAGCCTTGTGTGGGGAGGTAGATAATAGATGGGCTTCTAGTGAGACAGCCTTGGGAGGTATTTTCTGCCAGAAAGAACTCCGTAGAGCTGGGGAAGGGGTGAAGCATCTGTGGAGGAGACAGCTCAGTAAGGGGCTGAGGTAAAGGGCCTACAGGCAGAGTGAGGTAGGTAGCACTCCTGTAAAGAATCTGAGGGAGCAAAGCTTAGCTGCTTGCTCCAGAGTCCCTGGATTGGGGCCCAGAGTTAAGGAAGGGCTTGGTTTCACTTAATGGCTACTGAGAGGTGGTATGAGAGCCCTCTGGTGTGAAGACCTGGCATAAAGGCATTGGACTACTGATCTGTGGGGCTTTCTCTTACCCCAGAAAGGGTGAGACCGAATGTGACCTGGCTGGAGAGCTGGAATGAGAAGAAGCAGACTCCTGGACAAGGGGGTACTGGAGGAGGAGACTATTGTGGTTTGTCCACCAACAAGGGGGTATGCTAGCTGGTGAGTCACTCTTCAATGCTATCTCTTTACTCATCCTTTATGGGTTACCATGAGAAAAATCTAGTGCTGCCCATATGCTATAATCTAAGCAATCCCCCATCCTTGGAGAAGCAGGCTGTTTCCTCTTGCATTCTAACTCTTCCTTGCTTATTCCACTTGTGTAAGATTGATGGTGATGCCATATGAAAATAGTGAGGACTTGGCCATCTAATAAAAAGTATACATCATCACTTATCCCTGCAATCAACTTAAAAAAAATCTGGCCCAGGTCCATTATTAGGAAACATGACCTTACTACAAAATACAATATGAAGCCTATAAAAGGCTATGGGAGGAGAACTTCTGCATATACTCTGCAGGGCCAGGGGTGGGCCCTAGCTGCAAAACTCAGATCTGAGTTCAGGTTGTTTTCAAACTCCACCCACAACTTGAGCTGTGTTCAGATCTGCAATGTTGTAAATGATGACAGACACACTAATTAGAACTTGGATCTGAGGCTGGATTTTGAAAAATCACCCAAAATTGAGAGATTCTGATTTGGGGGGCTGCATCAGGCCCATCTTTAACCAGAAATTCTGTGTGTACGTATGTACACACACACACCCTCTATTGACCTTGCTAGCATTGAAAAAAAGTCTGAGTATATAACTTTATTTAGCACTAGATTTAATACTTTCCTAAAAGTAACTCTGAAGTGAATCCATTAAAACAAATGGTTGTGCCTGGCCAGAAACCAATTATTATTTTTCATGAATAACTGCTCACCTGTCACTTGGAGCTGTAGCTTAAATGTAACATGACTTGGAAATATTTCTAAAGGAAAGGTGAATTTCTGCCTTTAAAAAGTGTTTCTTTCATCTGATCCAAAGAGTAAAGCTGGGTATGGACACACGACTTACTTCAGTTCCTGACTCACCAGTATCTTGGAATATCTCTGGAGCTAAATTATGGATCATGTGCTGACAATGAACAAAAGAGAGTGGAAGGACATACATCTGTCTCCTATAGCAAAGGATGGGTACATGGATTAAATGTACATCTTGGTGGTTAGCTCACAGCCCCATGGTAGTACAAAAATTCATCTGCAAAAGCAGATCTTGTGATCTCTCACTTGATTACAGCTATCTTATTTTTCACGGTTGTGGTGTTTTGGGGGGGTTTTTTGGTTTTGTTTTTTAAAGGAGCCTGCTTCAGAAAATCGTCCTCCCTATGGATTTCCTGCTCTTTCAGATATGTGATACTGCTTGCTTGGAGCTGGAGTCAAGATCAGAAAGCCTGTAATTTCTGCCTTTCCTGTTCATCAGATCTCTTGATGGTGGCAAGCCTATATGATATGCTATTGCAAAGTATATAGTAGTCAGCTTTACGCTTTAGTCCATCAAAAACAAAGCTCACCCAAGACTCTCCATAATTATGCAGCAATCTGTAAATCATGGTTTGTTTTTTGAAATCTGAATATTTCTGGTGGCACTCAAACTAGTATTTAACTTCTCTGTACTGTTTAACTGTCCTTGGCAGTTATCTAGATAAACTGTACCAGTTTAGTTGCAACAGTTTCTAGATTCAAGGCTGTCAATAGAAGATTCCCAGGAGAGGGTATATTTTGGAACTTCAAAAGTCTTGGGAGTTCAAAAAGGGGGAAACAAACTTGGTAGTCTCAGTTCAACATTACAATTTTTCTCTTGACAGGTCCAGTTTATGCTCTAACATAGCTCTAGATCTAGTGGCAAATCTGGAAAATGCAGTTTCATTCACTTTAGCATCCCTTCCTTTTTCCAATTAAATCTTTTATTTTCCATTATTCTGAGGATGCAGTAACTTCAATCAAAGCATTTGCACAAAAATAAGTTCCCAAGTATCTACTTCACTATTTGCCTTAATTTGATGCTTTCTTCCCAATGGAAAGAATTCAGTCCCATTGGATACCATTTAGTGATTGTCTTGACTTTTGGGGGTGGGGGACATTCCCATCTCTAATACTGTACAGCCTGACTAAAAGATTCCTACATATTTAAGTAATCTGTGTAGTCCAAAGAAGCATAGCTTTATTTTTATTAGGGGGTCTCAGCTGTCAAATCTCATTTTAATTTCCAATAAGTATCATCCATTATACTACTTGATGCTCCCACAGGATCACGCTCATAGTCTGCTTTCCTGGGTTCACTGAAGCAATCTTTTCTGCTTCTTAATCTAATTTGGATCCTCCTAAAATAAAGAAGTGTCATCCCACATATTCCAAACAACCTCTTCCTTCCTTTACTCACCTGAAACAGCCCCTTACTTGTTTTCCCCACAAACTGCAGATGACCTCCAACTTTAAAAGAATGAGTCTTCAGTTTGCCTCTTGAAGATACTTAATCCTTTCCCTGTAACCATCACAGTGGCTTGTTAGTGCAAATGTATATAAAGAAAAACAAATATATAGTGGCTTGGTTTTTTAAGATGAAATGTCCATTGCTCTATGTTTATAAAATATTAACTATTGTATTCTCGATTACTAGAACACCTGGCATAATGTGCAATGGAACAAAACCAAACTCCATAGAAACTATTATATTTTCCAGTTGAGTGGCTGCAGTTATAATTCATATTTCTTTAACACTAGTGAATTTTGAAACCTTTCTCAGTGTCTGAATAATCAACCCTGTATCATTAGGCTGGGTCACAAGTTTCAGCTTCAAGATAGTATCAGAGGGGTAGCCGTGTTAGTCTGAATCTGTAAAAAGCAACAGAGGGTCCTGTGGCACCTTTGAGACTAACAGAAGTACTGGGAGCATAAGCATAGTGCACTTGCATCTGAAGAAGTGAGGTTCTTACCCACGAAAGCTTATGCTCCCAGTACTTCTGTTAGTCTCAAAGGTGCCACAGGACCCTCTGTAGCTTCAAGATAGACAACTAAAAGGAGATCTGGGGAGCTGTACTCTCTCTTTTTATTTGAGGAACACTGGCCCACTAGAAATTGGGTGAAGAACCATTTTAAATTCTGGACAGACATTTTAAATCAAGTCTGTCAAATTTGCCTGCTTACTTATGAAATGATAAATTAAAATGCAATAATCGTCATAGGAAAGGGACAACACAGTTTACTACAATGATGTTTTATGCATACTATGTATGGAATGACTTCTAAGGACAGTTACACATAGTGCATTTTTAGTACTGTATAGTTAAAGCTAAACTACCAGGACCCTGGAACAGATTAAGGAGTGCTCTTCTCCCCCAGCCTGATCCTCCTCCATAAACGGATAGCCTCAAAGAAGCCACCAATTCCCTCCCATAATAGGGGCTATGTTACCTAGGAACAAGATGGCAAGAGTTCTAGAGCCTATTACAGCTGCATCAGTACCAACAGCATTTCAGGGCAGAACTGCTGTTTGTTCTGGGAAGGGCTGGGGGGAGGAGGAAGAGTCATGAACATCTTTTTTACTAGGGCTTTATATCGTAATTCTCCCAACTTCTCCACTTCACTTTTCTTGCCAAAGACAGACTTTAAAAAGGCATTTAGTCTCTTCTAAAGGTTGGCATCATTAATTTCAAACTCTCCCTCAATTATTATCTGCTACTTTTTCCTATAGTCTCTTTTGTAAAAGTACCTTTTTATCTTATTGGGTTAGCCTAACACATTGTGTTCTTCTGATGCCACGGATCTATTTCCTCCCAACTTGTTTGGTTGCCACTACGCTCTTCCATTTCCACTACAGGGTTGTAGTCCAGCTCACTTCAATCGGAGTTCTCTTTAATGAAGTCACAAGCCATTCTTTTGGTTCCCGATTATTATTTTTTCCAGGAAGTGCTGTGTGCTCTAATTATAGTAGCTTTTAGAATCCTCAAGCATTCTGTCACACTGATGGATTCTAATAGTTCCTCCTGTTGCATCTTGTAAGAATTAACTTTCCAAAATCCGCTTTCTTGAAATGTAATACCTTTTATTCTGAACCTATTCCTTGCAATGTTAAAGTACTTTTGTGGTCATGATACTGTAGCCTGCTTCACTAGTATTCTCATCTTTATCAGTAAAATGTAAATTAAGAATGACTTCTCTGCTTTTGGTTCATTTTTTTTTTCTCTGCATAAAACAGAAATTCTAGTGATTCCTTGTCCTACCAATCTTGACTCAAATAATGTGCCACAAACATAGTATCTTGAGGCTTCAAGTACTGGAAAACTGGTCCAAGAATCTTTCTTTCCTTCATGTCCTAATAGTCTGAAGCAGATGTCCACTATTTACTTTTTTGGCTTTTATTCTTGTATTCTTACCCTAAGAAATTAACCACTATCTTCTTCATTGTCAAACTCTCATTGGCATTGTGCAGTATCAGTTACACTATTGCTTCTGCTGATAAATAATATGGCAATATTTCTACATTTGGTGCACAGTTGCTAACTTCCAGTCACTGCTGAGAAAATAATGCTGAATAAGTTAAATATTACATTTACATGGAATATTTGTACAGATCTGAATTTTTAAATGGACTGCAAATAGCCATGTTCATTTTCCCTCTTTGTGTTTACTTTCCAGGAACACTTGAGTAACCTGGATCCTACTGTCAAAATTGGTCATGAAAAGCAGATCTCAAAGTTGTATATGCAAGTATGGTAGGGGCAGAAGCCAAACTTCAAATGTGCATGTACACCCTCCTCTGTATGGGAACAGAAAACAAGGGTCATAGTGGAGTTAGGCACCAAATGCTTTGAGGCTCTGGGCTGCTGTGACTTATCTGACAAGGCACAGCTATGTAATGCAGTTTGATCCTGGAATAGCTGTGACTAGTCCATAGAGGTAAAAAAACTGAAAATATACATGAATAACACACTGAGGGAAGCATGAGCTGCTTGCTTTCCCCATACAACAATCAAATACACTTAATCACACAATCAAGCTCAGGTCAAATTGTCTGGAACAGCCTGTTTACTGCTGGCAAGTGGGCATATCAGTATACACCTTGAGCCACTAAAAGCATAGCTACTAGTAGGACCTAGTGACAATAATCCCATTTCTGTCACTTGCTTCTCCCATCATGCTCTTTTTTTTTTTAAATACATGTGAGCAGACATGGGTATGAAGGCGAGTAGTTGGCAATAACTGGTATGGGGGATGAGTGTAGGGGTTGCATGTTATGTATATCTAAAGTCTTCAGGGCATGCTGGAGGGTGTTCCCCATCTAACATGGTAGCTCATCTTAATGGGGAGTGATGGGAATGACAGCATAGTTTAGGATGCAGAATCCATTCTACTCTGCTCGAACTGTGCGTGTGTGGTGGTGGTAGTGTTGTTTTGTTTTTGTTTTTTGTTTGTTTGTTTTAAATCTTAACTTTCATGATAAAACCAGCTATGTACTTCTCACTATGCATGTGGAATTAATAACCAGACTAGCATGGTCATGCAGTAGTGTGATTCTTAAAATGCCAATGCATTTATTAATCCTTATACCAGTGACAAGACTCCAACTTTCCTGCTTCAGACAATCTCTCTCCCCCCTTCCTGGCATGTCCCTGATTTCCTCCCTTCTAGCCACATACAAATTGGACAACTCTTCTATCGCTTATCAAGCTATCCTAGATTTCCTTTAGGGCAGATGCTATCTGCACCTGATGAGGATGCATTTCTTGTGGGTTCACAACAGAACCTGGAGGTGACTTAATTCATGTCCCTGAATGGACTCCAGTCTGTTGTGATTGCATCCAGTCACTTCATTATCCCATGGCTTTTTGTTTTGTTTTAATGTCTGGATTACAGACACCCTGGCTCTGGGAAATGACAGGTCATGGTTCCTAGTTGTGGGTCTCAAGCATGCTCCCATCTCTCTCACTTCTTTGGCAGTGGGACACCGTCCCCCTTCCCCCCAGTTTTGGTGCCTAGACCCTGACCTCTGCTGTCCTAACCCCACACATACCCCCCTACACACACTTATTTAGACATGTTCTTTCCCCACCTGGCTATGGAAGCACTGGCTTTTTAGTTACCCACCATTTGGGGACAATGTGGCAGTAAAGAAAGGAAAAAACAACGTAGCAATTCTTACTCACTTTAACTCTTTTCTGTACTCTTGAAAGTGCCAACTCCTGAATGCAATCCCCATAGTCTGATATCACATCCCTGGGTTTGGTCACATCCTTGGGGGATGCACAGTCCCTCCATTCTCTCCAGACTGGTCTTCTGTTTCTGACAATGAAATAGATCCCTTATCTTAGCATATTTCTGACAAGTTTCTTGTCTCCCGCCCCCCCCCCCCATGCCACCTGTAGACTTCTAGACAGAGACATTCAAATTCAGTAACTGCTGGTAGCAAACCCATTTTCACTGGTGTAGAATCATGTGGTGGTGGTTCTTGATTGCTCTGTCACAGCTTCTTAGACAGTTTTTCCAGTAGGTGTCTAAGCTCCTAATATAAAATAAATGCTCAGAGTCCCTGGAGGTTGAAATATAACAAGCCATTCACAGAGCCAAAACGGAGTTCATAAATTGGCATATTCTCCCCTTTCCCCCCTCTAATCTGTCAGTTTCTATCTTGTAACAAAACACCCACCTTGTTTTGTGTGGGAAGGTGCAGGAGGGCAGAATAGAGAAAGCATTGGAACCTCTGAGTGTCCAAATTCAACATAATGTTCTGGATCGGTGATGTTGGCTTGGACCCTTATGCTGGTTTATATGTGTCCCAAGAGTACAGGTATAGCCAATTGTCTTCATAGTGGCTTCATACCTGATATAGGCTGAATAACTAATGAACAGCTGCTAAATATATCATTAGGACTTGATACGACCTTCATTTCAGCCAGGGTTGTGATGGTAGGCTGCACACTGCATGAGCTGCTCCTGCTAGGGCACAACCTACACAGGAATTGCATATTTAAAACTCAGACTGATCCAAAATCCCCTGAAGTCAATGGGACTCTCTCATTTAACATAGGGCACACTTCACCTTCCATTAAAGTTATCACTTTTTTCCTTAGCTAGAAAGTGTTCTTTTAATCAAGTTTCTCTGTAGAACACTACACTTCAGTCAGGTTCTATCTTAGCTTTCTATCTTCCAAAAACTAAATTCTTAACTCTTGAAAAAGATCTTCAAGCCTCAATATTACTGTGATGCAGTTCCTTACTTTGATATTTATATAATATCTTTGCATATATAATTTTGGAATTCTAAATGGATATGAATTCCTCATACCATAAGGAATGTAAGATTGTATATATAGTATGCCACTGTAAAGAGAACTTTTCCTTGGATTTCAAGAGTCTTGAATTAGACTTGACCTTGTTATCCAAATTATTATGACATTTCTGTTCCTCAAATGAGTGCTTCCTCTAGAGTTGTGAACAGCAAGTAAATTTACTAGCCTATGAAGTGATTAAAATGCCTCTAACTTGCATTTGATATATTATGTGGTGGAAGATTGGTTTTTTTTTTTTTTTTTTACTGTTACACCACAAACTCAGGCATAGTGTTTAAGTGCAGTACTATTGCAGTTACTAAAAAACTTTAATCAGATTACTGTTACATTTGATACTATAAAAATGCCAGCAGATAAATATTAAGATTCAATTAGCTGCACAACAATTTGTTTGGAAATTAATACTGAACTAAGTCAGTGTTCTATTAATTTTTTTACATTTTTGTATTTATAATTTACACTTTCTTGCAAATATTAGTGTATGTAGTATACAAACTGGAAGTTGAAAATAAGGTACATAAATTGATATGGCAATATTAAAGCTACAAGAAACAAAGTTCTTCATGTCTTATTACTTCTGCTACATCTACCCTACCATTGCCAATAAGACCTAATATTTTAAATATATAGCTCCTTGCATTTGGAACTAAACGATCAGTAAAAATCATGACTTGAAATATGCTGGAAACATGTATTTTCAAAGTGCATGTCCTGGCCCTCCATACAAGCCTGTGGTTGCTAATGTCAACATGCATTAGCAATGAAATTGTACTATACTTAGATGTGGTTCAACCACATCTATGGGCTGAGCCATTAAAGAGCATTTAAAAAAAGAGAAGAAATAAACTAGGTAAAAGGGAATATGTCTTGTTCAGCTAAAACATTCAAATATATCTATAATTAGTATAAAATTGTTCAAAATAGACTGCAGATTAATTATTAATATCTGGTAGAAAATAACCATACCATACAGAAAGTGTTACATGTTTTTATTCCTCATAAAGACTTCAAAACATTTTGATCATGCATCAAGAACTTGAATTTTATTAATTAACCAGGAAGATTTGTATTTCCCTCTTCCTAAAGGACTGCACCTATTTGACAGGGGAAAGTAAACTTTAATCTATCAAGCCAAACTCTTTTTTTTTTAATTAGTAATACTTTCCTAAAAGGTAACTACTAAGCAATTACAAACCTCAAACTCATGAGCCTTATGCCAATAGACATTGGATCTATAGTGAATAAATACAGTTAAAGGAATAATATTTTTGAGGCATGAGTTTGTTTTTGTCTTTCAGCAAGACAGAGTGAAATGAGAAATGCCCAGCTGCCTCAGCTGGAACCAACACAAAACTTCATCTGCTTTATTCAGTTCTCAAAATAGGGCACAGGTCCTTCTTTTTTCTTCTTTTTAAAAGTACAGTAGGTTGAATTTAGACTACACCATTACTCCTGTAGCTCCCAAAAACACACTTCCAATTTAGAGACCATTGGTGGATAAGAAATGTGACAGTTGCGGAGCTTTGGTGGTGATTTGTTTGGCAATACATTAGCCATAGCACATTTACCCCATCTTTAGGAACAAAGATGACAACTGCTATAGCGTGACTAACCCTTGTCTGTCTGCTGCTTTCAATCTCATGTGTCTGACATGAGTGGATCTCTCGTCTAATGCAAGGGAAGAGAATTTCTCATCTAAGGTGTTCACATTGCTGCTGTTGACCTCCTTGGAAAATTATGATGATGGTCTGCGTTTGCTTATTGCTACATTGCTGTGGGAGCCCATCACAGAATTTTGAATGTTCGTTACATATTTATATGCACATTTTAAATTACATTTTAAAATTTTTACTAATTCCATATTTATAATTTCACCATAGTCTTTAAGCTCCTGGTTTTTAGTGTACATAGTCACAAGTGGGTTTTTTTGACTGGATAAAAATTCCAAATTGCATTTTATTTCTTGATCTAGTTTGGCTCTTTAAATTAAAAAATATAATGCTATTTTCTTGTTCAATGTTATCTTTGCTAGTGATAGCTGCTAAAATGCTGCTAAAATGCATATAGTGCCAACAACTGACAAGTGACATGCTCCTATGAGCCACAAGCAGAAAACAAGTGGGGTTTCCCTTGAATTTGTGGAAAACTTGTGAGCATCCTCTACCTTCTCCCCCTCCCCCAGGAGTGCTTTATTCTTCCTGCTGCCATCACTACATACAGTATAATAGAAAACACACAATTAATACACAAGATAAATCTTCTAATATGAAAAAATACCTGATTTTAAAAAAATACAGGTGCAATCATGATATCAACCCCCCTTCCCCCCCCCAAAAAAAAAACGTCAGGGGCTTTCTTTCTTTTACACTCTTATTATGGAAGAGAAAATTTAATTGCAAACAAACTTCAGTCTTTAAAAAAGTTAAACTTATGCAAAAGAAGGGAGTCATTAGTATACAAGTGATAGTATTAATTGTGTAGTATACAATCACATTATTGTGATTTGCAGGATTACTTAAGTGATTAAATAGAGGTTTTTACCTGCTTATGAACTGCAAATTGTAGTCCATACTTTGTAGCTCTGTTTAAACAAATTATCTGTATTCCAAACCAGATTTGACACACAAGGAAAGAAGAGAATAGAAGGTTCCTACTTTTTGTTAAAATACATATCAGTACATTTCTCCTTTTTCAGCTACATTATGGGTAAATATAGTCTGCTAGTGGGGGCATAGTGAAATATTGGTTTTCAATAAAAAAAACAGTAATTGTGCTATTGAATTCTGTCATCCTAAACTCTGGCCTTACAACTGTCATAGGCTTCTCTCATTAACATTTATCAAGTTCATCATAAACTTCAGATGGATGCTTGGACAGAGTAGACAATAACTGAAATAAAAAGCGGGGCTCAATGGCTACCTAGTTTCATGCACATGCATAACTACTTTTATGAGTAGTGTTGTGGGTCAACTGACATCTGGAAAATTACTCCTGCATGTCTTTGCAGGATCATGATCACAACCCTGAACTCTAAAATAAATGTGTATAAAGTTGGGCATGTTCTTAAGCACCTTACTGAGTCAGGGCCTTAAGGCACAGCCACCTCTTCAGACTTTATTTTTCACTGAGAAAATAAAATTAGAATATATTTAACATCTTAAAATAAACAAAATCAAATTTCTAAAATTCCAGCTGTAAGTGAAATATTAATGTCATTGTCATTAGCTTTAGTGTTATTTTTAAATACACAAGTTTTTCTGTGTTTGAAAGGTGTGACTGGGTCATGAAGGCAAAGGGTAACACTTTACCCCTATTAACTGCTTGTCACCCTTGCATGCAGTATATGCGGTATTAGCATCCCTATTTCACAGATGTGGAAAATGAGGTTACAGAGGTTAAAGCAAAAATGTTCAGACTTGTGCACGTATAAATTTAAGCATCCAACTTTAGGTACCTATATAAATGGCCTGATTGTGCAAGTATGGCCCTTCTAAAGCTCCTGTTGAAGTTCATGGTAGCTATGGGTGCTCAATACCTCAGGAGTTAGGGAGCCAAAATTGATCCTTGTGACTCAGCAGAGGCTAACATCGATCTTAACTAGCCAAAGCCCAAATGTGGAATGCAGGAAACTTAAGCTGTGAAATTCTTTTGTTTATTGTAAATAACTCTGTACCTTCAGTTACATAATTCTTCAATGCTGACGTAAATAACTTTCAATCATAAATTTGCAACCCTCACTTTAGTATATCTCATTGGTAACTCTGGATCTAAAATGAGTGACTGCCCTCAAGATGGGGGACATCTGAGCAATGTGGTTGTCAAAGTCTGAGCTGGGATTAGTCCTTTGTGCACTCAGTCCTTGCTGGTTCTCACACACTTGAGCTTCCTCTTGCAGCCAAACGGATGGATGCTTAGCAGAGATGGTTCAGCAGCAGGCAGTTTGTGCTGGTTTTAGCACCACCTGTGTGTTGGGCTAGAGCTTCACTCTACAACTGTGAGATGATGCTGGGGTCGTGTCAAGAAAAATCAAGCAGCTAGGGCTATGGGTTTTCAGGACCCCAGAGGCCAACTCTGGGATGTAACTATGAAGGAGGGAATTGTAGGAAAAAACCTAACAGGCTTTCACCCCAATTACTGGTTTGAGCACATGAGTGCTGAAACAATTTGCATAATGGGGGTGCTCAGAGACATTGAACAAACTTCAAGCGCGGGGGTGTCAGCACCCCTAGTTCTACAAACTCTCTTTGAGTGGTTTCCAGGCTATGTGGGCACAAGGCTGGGGGCGGAAAGAGAGGGCTTCGTGGGAGGCAGCTGATATTCGCCCTAGGGAGGGCGAAGGCCGGCTCCAGCACCTGACGCTAATCAGTGCACAGCTGCGGGGAGAAAGCCAGCCGGGCTGTGTGTCAGGCTGGCCCGGAGTCAGTCCCGGGCTAACTTTCATCACTTCAGCGCAGTCAGAGCGGAGCCGGATTTCATTCGCCCACTGGAGCCGCGGAGGTGTCCCCCGGCCCCGCTTTAACAAGGGTAGGACTAGTCCCCATGGGCGCTCGGGGCAGCACCAGCCCTATGGCCGCGGGCCAGCGCGAACCCGTCACGGCCCTTCCAGCCAGGGCAGAAGGTGGCTCCCGCCGTGCGTCACCGCACAGAGTCCTGGCCTTGGCAGCAGCCGCCCCTGCCCTCCATTCTCGGGCAGCAGCAGCAGCAGCAAGCGCTTCTCTCCGCCTGACGGCTGCGGCGTGGCCCTGCCCGCTGGCCGGGCCTGCTCCGCTCGCCTCCCCCCGCCCCGCTAGGTGTCTGGGCGAACGCGCGGCGCGGCCAGCCGGAGCACAGCGACTCCAAGTCCTTGCGGCGCTCGCTCCTCCTGCCGCCGCCGCCGCGGGGAAGGCGGGGGTGGGCTCCAGCGCTTCAGACTGCTGCTGTCAGAGCCGAGAGACACGCTCCGCCTGGGGAGAAGGGAGGGAGCTATACTCCTCCCCCCACCGCCACCCTGGCCTGCCTCCTTCCCTCCTCCCTCCCTCTCCTCCAGCAGCTCCACAAACCAGGAACCAGAGCCAGCTGCAGCCTCCCGTGCGTGAGAAAAACACGGGGAAGCCAAACGGGGAGTGCGGAGCAGCGCCAGGAGAAGGAAGGTGAAGGAGGACGGACGCAGGAGGGGAAGCACAGAGGGATTGTCAACATAAAAGGGAGGAAAAAGTTTACCCCCGTGTTACTGTCGCCTCCCTCTTCCTGGGTGGCGTCGCTGGGAGTTTTACCTGGAATGACAAGTTTTTTCAGGGTGGCTCTTTCTCCGACTCCCCCCTCCAGCAGCGGATGAGGGTGTGACACAAGGGGCGAACCCGCCCCGCCACCTAACCCTCTATGGTGGGAGCTGTCACCAAGAGCAGAGAGGAGCTGATCCGGGTGGACTTCACTGTTTCCAGCTCCGCTGTTACAGTACTGCAGCCCCCCGTGGGGCTGGAGTCAGAGAGGAACTGCTGCCGCTGGGGTTTGTGTGTGAGAGTGTTACAGCCCCCTTCTTCCAGGATATAACTAAAACCACCTCGAGCATTTTCAGTCGCATCTTCATCATTCGTTTCCTCCTAATTCTTGCTATTGCTGCTTGTTGAATGGCTTGTTGGCAGTAGCTGGGGGTCTTGCCTCCTCCAGCCGCCCCACCATGTCCTAGAAAAGGTGAGTGCAGTCAAATCACTTTGCACAGAGTCCTGGGGGAAAGGGCGGGTAGAGAGCGTTTCTTTATGGGGAAAAGCAATAGAGCAAAAAAGCCAGGATCAGATATGTTAGTTTGGAGGGCAATGTGTTGAGGGGGGGTGGGGTGGGAACTAATAACTGTGTCTACAGAGATTTTCAACAGAAAGATTGTGTGTCCAGGTCAAGATCGATCCTATTAAAATCAGCTAAAATTTAGGTTTAAAAAAAACCACCCATGTCTATTGCTTAAATAATAACTCATTAGCAGCTGTGTCTCTGGGTAGCTCTGCTGGGTCTGGGAGCCTGGCTCATTCCTCGGCCCGTGTCTACTGCTGGATCTGGAAGTGGAGATCAATTTTTGGCAGAATATTAAAACATGGAAGGCACGTGACTTTTAAAAAAATAATCCTAAAGTAAATACATTTTTTTTATCAGACGGGCGCAGTAACGTAATCCCCAGCTTTCTAAAATATAAATTCCACGGAATATTTAAATATTTCTCTACTCTTAAACCGCTTTTATTGTACGATTCTTCTGCAGGTTTCCCCTTTTCCCAGGGTACCTCTAATTTTATGGGATTTGCTCGGGGCGTGAGGGAGTTTATTCTTGTCTGGGAATTAAATAGAGAGAAATAGGATCAAGGGTTGGATGGGAGGAGTGTCTGTGTCAGGTTTTAGCTGGCGAGAAAGAGAAGCTCTCTACATCATTGCTGCTGGTGTCAAAATCTGGAGAAGGGGAAACATACATTTTAATTGATTGATGCTTAGGAGTGCCCGTCATTATTGCTGATTTTGAAGCCCAGGGTTAAAGGATGTTGGCATAGAACTACTGAGGAATGTATCATTTTAAAGTTTACATTGTATTCTTTTCTTTCAAAAATATTTATAAACTTTGGAAACAAGCAAACAAGGAGGGTGAAATTAAATGCTTCAGGCTCCAGACAGCGTCTCGAGTTTTAAAATAGTTTTATTGCCCCCATTTATCATTTACCCTCACTTGAAAAGGAGGAAAAGAGAAAATCTGTGCGCAGCATTTACAAAGACTACACTAGGCGCAATAAAATGAAACCCAGAGGCAAGCAAAGGACAAGTCCTTGAACCTTAGTGAGTTTCTCTGTTTTAAATCATTACCGCATCGATAACATGCATATTCATGTATTGTTCAAACACGGAAATTGAAATGGAAACGTGATAGTCTTGCTGCACGGGTAAGAGGCGATGATTATAAGCACAGAAAGGAAAAGGCTGCGTCCTTCCAAATTTGCTCCCTGGCCAGCCAAGCTGCTCACCTTGGCGCAGGTGGAGTTAACTTTGTCTCCAGGAGACTGCGGTGGGCGGGGACAAAGGCTCCCTTTTTATAGACCCTAGTTTTCTTGCTCTACCTGAGGAGAGGAACCACCCCCACTCCCAAGCCTGCCGTCAGTCAAAGGGGTGGGGAATGAAATAGACAAAAACGCCAGCGGGGAGGGCACGCTCTCTATCACAGCCCTGCCAAGGCTCCGTTTGGAGGGGGCCTCCCTCTTCTGGATTCATTTCAAGGCACTTTTTAAAAGTATTTCCCTCGTTAGTTTATAATGAGGTGGTTTTTAACTTCTCCAGTCGATAACAGCGGGCCACTGTCCTGACTCCACTCTGGCTGGGGAACTGGGCTAGAGGGGATGTTTAGAGGGCTGCACGTTGCATTGGGAGAGGTAGCTCTGTCCCAGGCTCTGCGCTCTCTCAACGAGCTTCTGTGGCTTTAAGGCGAGATACATTTTCCAGCCTGTGTCGCAGCAACTTTGTATCAGTCATGTCGCCCGCCCGTTGACTGAAACGGCTTTCGTCCAATGAGAAACCCTCCAGAGCCCAATAGAGCGTCTCTTCTCTTTCCCTCCGCCAGTGGAGGCAACCGAAGGGCGGGATATTAACTTGAACTTTATCTGAGCATGTGACATGTTTTTAAAAGGACTTGGCACCTTTTTTTTTCCCCTTCGTCTGCCCTGCTCAGTGTCATTGGGCGACGTAGCGAACTTCAGGTTAAGAGGGAAGCCAGCGGATTTACCTGCTGGCGAATAATTATTTCTTGTTCTAATGTGAAACCATCAGCATTTTCTGGCCTAGATGTTGGATTTAGGTGGGTTACACTTTAATGGAAATGCGGACTGTAGCAACAGGTAGAGACAGACAGCGCAGGTGTCCGGGGGAAGCACTGGCAGTTCTTGTCCTCTTATGGCTCGGTGTCGTTGTATCCACTTTGCAAAGGAGGTAGGGCTTTGCGCGTTGTTTTGTTTTTGCAAGGGGAGATGGGTCTTCAGATGTCCCTTTTTATTGCCGGAGATGCTGCATGTTTTTATTATTTTATGATTTTAGTCTAGGCTCTTTGTGTTTGGAATGCATATGGACATGTACCCAAGCTTTCCCACACCGAGAGATCCCCCCCCCCCGCACAAAGTTTTGTTTATTGCATTTTAAAAAGAAAATCCACAGATCAGACTTGTAATTGTTTGTTGTTAGGAATAGGTCAGTTAGTTTCAACAGCTTCCAATATAAAATCAGCTGTCTTAAATCTAGGTAGAAGTCAAACTGAGTACATGCAGTGATCTGTTTAATGTTCATCAGTCTGTAATAAGTGGTTTCATATATATTTGCTAGCTATGTTTCATGGTTATTTGGTTTCAGTGACAAACATCCCCAATGTTTCCTTGATTTCTCTGGCATCATTTTGTTTTGTACGGTTAGTCAAAAGCCTTTTATTCAGATGTACTGTACAGATCCATTTGTGTATTGTAGTTTAATCATTTTCATACTGTAAATTAGAATTGTATGTCTCTCAAACTTAGCTAACTGTGCCTATATTTTATAATCCAGTACAGAATATCTAATTTTCCCATGAAAATATAAAGCTAAACTGTTTAGTGGGGGGAGGGGGGCAGGATGTGAGAAAAAGAGCACATTAAAACATAAAGAAAGATACTTATAACTTTCCATACTCCATTTGCTATCTTGGTAATTATTCATATTTGTATAATAAAGCTTTCTCTAGCTGTATGATCCTATTCTGATGTCTTAATTCTGAGTTTATGCCATCACAGAATGTTGTCTTGAAAATAATTAAGAAATCATAAATTACGCATTCTATCACTGTAGGATAAGTGAGAGGAGGTGATGGGTATTGAGGGGGAAAATTCTAAATTCAGCAAAGATATCTTTGATAAGTAACACACAAGGCAAAGCAAATAAGAATTAGATGAAAGAAAAATCTGTTTAATATGACACAGTTCTATTTTTTCTTAGCAATAGTTCATTTTTAATCCTGAATGCAAATAGGGAAATAAATTCAATCCATGTTTTCAAACTATTGTAATCCTATATAAAAAATTAAATAATTTGAAGAAATAAAAAATAGAAAAATTATAAGTAGAGCTTTTAAAACAATCCAGCAACTAGGAATATGCCACACTCCCACCCCGCATGCATGCACACACAAAATCCCATGTAGTGTTCTATGTCTTAGGACAATTGGAGAAATAAATATTTCCACTATTTTTTTCCTCTTCAAGGGGCATTTACTACCTTGTTTTGCATGTGGGACACCCTTTACCATTAATGGGAATTCTGCAAAAAAAAAAAAAAAAAAAAGGAGAATGTGAGCCATTTTCTGCTCTGTTACCCTGTGCAATGCTGCTGAAGAAACTGTGATTGCCTGGGAGTCATTGACAGAAGAATATGGTCCCAGGTCCTTAACTTTACATTTAAGATTTGCAGCTGTCAGACTTTGATTAGTCCAGTCCTTCTATCTGCTTTCATTTGTAAATGGTACTTCACTGACTTGGGACAATCAGGTCTGAGGATAAAACTTGGATCTCCTGAGTAGTATTACATCTAGGTCATCAAAGTGGCACACCGATGAATGATGTTTAAAGAAAACTCAAATAACAACAACAAAAAAGAAATAGGGCATATTTCCAAGTTAGTCACTGATTTAGATATTAGAATAAAAAAAATGGATTTAGTTCTGATTTTCTTATATTTAGGTGATCTTCCCCGTACAGAGATTGCAGGTACTATATAATTTCATTTTTATTTGACCGTTGCTGAGAAATGGGTTTTATGCCTGATTGTCTGGAGACGTGGACTGCAAAGACTGCATCTGTTGAATGTTCGGAGGTGAAACACTTAGGTCACAAATGTTAATGTTCAAGTACATTTTTGAGGTTGGGGGAACAAGTTTGTTCATAATATAAATATTATTAAATGGCAAATGCATAAGTATAATTTCCAACATAAATACAGTCCCTGCCTCCATTGTCAGCAGTTGTGAATTAGACTCTGGGCTAAAACTTCTTAGAGCTTTGTAAAAATAAATGTCTGTACAGTACATGGGGTATAGATCCGATGTGCATACACGGAAGTCAATGGATTCTTTTATCAATTTTTGCTTTTAAAAAATACAAACAAACAAACCAAAACCTGATCCCATCAGCAATTCGAAATAGACTTCTTAGCATTAGTACCCACTGCAACACTTATTGGTGGCAATAATCAGCACTACCAAGGAACCTGTTTGTCACATGGTTTTTATTTATAATTTTAGACCTAGCTTATATCAGGCTATATATAAATCTTTCCAGGCTTTTTATCCCTTCTAAAATGTATCTTCCAAAGAATGGACCTCTTACTATAGCTGCTGAATCAGGGAATTTGCCACTTAGACTGCTATAGGCTTTGATTTGTTAAGCTTTTCAAGCTTATGTGCCTAATGCTTAGGCACTAAAGATGAAATTTACCCCTATGCTGTGGTGTCTATGCACCACTTAAGTTCTATGGCTTAAATGGACATAAGTGGTGCACAAGTCTTCTGCTGGGCCTCTGCACAGGATTGAAATTCACTCTAAATCCATATTTATGCCTCTAAATGAGTGTTCTCATTTTTAGAAATGCTGAATACTCCATGGCTTCATTTGGTTTCAGAGAGTATTGGGGGTGCTCAACATGTTTTAAATATTTCTTTAGGAGGCTAAATATTAGTTTGTGTGTGTAACTTTAGGCATTTATGTTTGGAAAATTTTAACCTATATGAACACCGTTTGATGTGTAGGACACTGGTTTATTGAAGACCATCAAAATTTTGGTTGTGCAAGGAATTCAACTTGATACCAAACATAATGCTTTTATTGGTCCATAATTTCGTAAATTTTTGTGCAGCATTTGTGGCTAAGGCACAGCTGTCTACTTTTAATCTCATCTTGACGGAACTGTCAGCAGTGATAGGTACGCATAAGTTTTTACCTGTTCTATGACTTCACTGCAGCTGCATTAAAACACTTTATGTATCGTGTCTTTTCCAAGATGCATGTCGTCTTGTTGGCATTTATTATATATCCAAGCGGACTACATCAATTTTCCTAGGTAGCACGGAGTCTAACCATTAATTCAAATTTGTGCCAGTTTTATGATGTCATCTGCATAAACTAAGGAGCTTAACTCAAGATCACCCAATGTCATGGTCTCCAACTTGTCTACCATTCTTAATGTCCAGTTTAAGAACATGATGAAAAGCGATCGTGATTCCATGCACCCTTGTCTTACACCAAACTTTGACTTGAACCAGTTGCTTGCTTTTCCAATGATTCTTATGGCACTGCAGGAATCCTTATACATAGCTTTTATAATTGTAATTATCTTATCTGAAACTTTATATGATTTTGCTACTTTCCATAATGTTTCCTTCCAAACAGTATTACTCTCTGGTCTGGAAGCAGCTGATTTAATTAAGTAGACATCTGAAGGCTGGAGGCAGTACAGATGAGAGTTCTTCCAAAGGTGGCAGGTGTAAAGTCCAATGATTTTAAGACAAATAAAGAAATTAGAAGGAGAGGAGGATGTGAAATTGGGTTATCAGATTGGCTGCCATTTGAAAAAGATTACATTGGTGGGGACGTTGCAGAAGTCAAACACATAAGATGCCAAAGAAAATAATACAAACACCACCACAGTCAGTCCAACCTAGAAGCTGACCCCTGACTAGATGGTGGGATATTGTATGCAGGGACGTGACGAGGCAGGCCTTAATGGAGGAACAAGCTATGGATAGGAATCAGTGGTGATGCCGTATTGCTCCCTGTGTCTGCAAAGATGCTTTTGGCTGAAAAAAAGAAGAAATTCAGGATCAGGACTGTATCTATATCTATATAGCAAAAAGCATAAATCCTGCTTTCAAATTCTTTTGTTTAGGTTGAGTACAAACTTTTTAAAAAAAAATTGGGGAGAAAAAAGTGTTATGGTTTTAAATAGATTAGACATTAACATTGAATACTTGAGCACTCAGTATATTGGTCAAACTAAAAAAAACCCTTTTGTATACTGTAAGGTTTATAAGTATTTACGTTTCATTTTGTGCATAACTTTTAAAATCACTAAAATAGTTATTGAACTAACATTTAATTCAATAAAGTCTTATTTGTTAGATTTTTTCAAAATAATGTAGGACTAGATAGTACATTTTATGCGCAGCTGTGGTAGGTGAGGAGTATTTTGCTTACAGCCTTTTTTCAGGGTACAGCTCATTTTCTACCTGGGTTGGCTGGCATAGAGGGGAGTGTGGAATCATGGGTCCATTCACTGCCTGTCCCTCTCCTCCCACTTTACTCATTTGTTCTCTGGAGGAAGCATCAGCTGTGCAGGCTTTGTGCTTCCCTCAGCTCCCAGAGGTAAGGTTTAATAGCCCTCTAAAGTAGTTAATAGGCAGGAGGTGATCTGTACACCCTCCTATTTGTCTGCATGGCTATGTTATGGCTAATCAAAATCTATGGTTATTGTTTTAAAACAGCATTTATTATACTAGATTATATATGTAGAAAATAACATCACATGATAAAAGTATTTTACATTTATTAACCTCTGAATTGTAATATGGAATCATAAAAAGCCTATCATTTATTAATTTTACTTTTTTTGTATTTTTTCCTAGTTATGGAGACAAAAGGATACTACAGTTACCCAGAAGGCTTAAACATGGAGAAACGGTGGGGTCAAGTTTCTCAGTCTGTGGAGTATTCTTCAGGTGCTGGAGAGCGGACTGATGAGAGTAATTATATGGAGATTGTAAATGTAAGCTGTATATCTGGTGCTTTTCCAAACAGCAGTGCTCAAGGAAACAGCAAAGAAAAACCTGAACTACTCCCTAGCCTGCAGCAAGATAATAATCAGCCTGGTATTTTAAACTCTGACATAAAGAGTGAGTCAGACTCAAAGGAACTTTCAGCAACTGTTGCTGAATCTATGGGTTTATACATGGATTCCATACGAGATGCTGATTATACCTACGATCAGCAAAATCAACAAGGGAGCATAAGTCCTGGGAAGACTTATCAAAATGTTGAGCAGCTGGTAAAGTTCTATAAGGAAAATGGCCATTGTGCCTCTCCCTTAAACAGTGCAAATAGGCCCTTGAGATCTTTGATATCAGACTCTGGAAGTTCTATGAATGGTGGTCTCATGCGCACTATTGTCAAAAGCCCTATAATGTGTCCTGAGAAAACTCCTTCTGGCAGTAGTCCTCAGAACATGACTCCTTCAGTTTGTAGCCCAGCTGGCATTAACTGTGTATCCTCAACTACTTCTACTAATTTTGTAAATTTTCCAGTGCACAGCCCAGTCAGCCAGGGAACTCCTTTGTCATGCTCACCTAACATTGAAAACCGGAGCTCTAGATTGCACAGTCCTGCACACGTTAGTAATGTGGGATCTCCTCTTTCTAGTCCTATAAGTAGCATGAAATCACCAATTTCAAGCCCTCCTAGTCACTGCAGTGTGAAATCTCCAGTCTCAAGTCCTAATAATATCACTATGAGATCCTCTGTTTCCAGTCCTGCAAATATGAACTCAAGGTGCTCTATTGCCAGCCCTTCCAATACAAATAATAGGTCCAGTCTTTCTAGTCCAGCTGTTAGCACTGTGGGATCTTCTATCTGTAGCCCAGTAAACAATGCCCTAGGCTTCCCTGCTTCTGGAGCACCTGCTGGACCTAGCACAGGCCAAGATACTATTCCTAGTCCAGAAACAAAAGACAAAGGTGCTCAAGAAATCACATTTCCTAAAATGGAGGAAATGGAGAATGCCATCTCGAACAATTGTGTAGCTGGTCAGATGAATCTTGTTCAGTTTATAAAGCCTGACCCAGATGGAGCATTTGGTAGCTCATGTATTGGAGAAAATAGTAAAATCAACTCTGATTCCCCATTTTCAGTACCAGTAAAACAGGAATCAGCTAAACATTCTTGTTCTGGTGCCTCTTTTAAAGGGAATCAAGCAGTAAATCCATTTCCATTTATGGATGGTTCATATTTTTCTTTTATGGACGACAAAGACTATTATTCTCTTTCTGGGATTTTAGGACCACCTGTTTCATCATTTGATGGCAATTGTGAAGGTAGTGGGTTTCCAAATCCAGGCCTACCTGTGGGTATTAAACAGGAGCCTGATGATGGCAACTATTATCAAGAGAACAGTATGCCATCGTCTGCCATTGTTGGTGTGAATTCAGGTGGACAATCATTTCACTACAGGATTGGAGCTCAAGGCACAATATCTTTATCACGACCTGTTGCTAGAGAGCAGACTTTTCAGCATGTGAGCTCATTTCCTCCAGTCAGTACACTAGTTGAGACATGGAAATCACATACTGACTTAGCGTCCAGAAGACATGATGGGTATCCAGTTTTAGAATACATTCCAGAAAATGTGTCAAGGTGAGCAAACTGAAATCCTGTTTGTTTGTTTGTTTTTCATACTACACAATGTCTAAATTAGTATGACTGTTTTTTTTGTTTTGGTTTGGGTTTTTTTGCACAATTTAGGCTTGATATTTTCTTTTTAATTTCTAAAGCTGCATACATATTTCTTGGTGTATTTCAATGATTTATTAGTCAGTTTCTTCATTAATTTTGCTAGCTTTTTGATTCTGGTTTTAATAAAAACAACCTGCATGTTTCATACTCAATATTTAAATACAGAATATATTATATTTAGATGTGATAGTGCTACTTTTTGATCTTCTTCCACGATAAGTATTTGTTTTTAATAGTGGAGCTTGTTGTCATTACTTTCATGTGCCATATACTGGCTATTCTTTCTTAGTTGTTGCTTTAATGCTTTGTACTGTTGGTGATGTTCAGAAGGAAATAAAATGGAAATGGTACATTAGGAACTTAAGTTTCTAAGTTTTGTGTTATGAACTTGTATCCATCTTTAATTGACTAAATTTAAAAACTAAGCATGAGGGTCTGTGGCAAACGTTGTTTCTGAATCGTGATTGTATGAACATTGTGGTTGACACATACACCTTTACCCCGATATAACGCGACCCAATATAACACAAATTCAGATAGAACGCAGGAAAGCAGTGCACCGGGAGGGGGCAGGGCTGCGCACTCCGGCGGATCAAAGCAAGTTTGATATAATGCGATTTCACTTGTAATGCAGTAAGATTTTTTTTGCCTCCCAAGGACAGCGTTATATCGTGGTAGAGGTGTACATAGAAATTTCTCTTAAACTGAGGAGGGCTTTAAAGACTGGACACATTTGAAACAACTACAATCTGATTTAATCTGATTCTGGTGAAGTGAAATATACCAATATCATTTGAATTGTGTACTACTTTTCTGAATCCTAAATAGTCACGCTTTAATAACAAATGGAGTATCCATATACTTCAGATAGAACTGTGTGTGTGTGTATTTAGGGCAATAACATTTAGAATAGGGAAGGTATAAAAGAAGCCTGCAAATAATTGACTTTAGAATTGTTGATAGTATACATTTATCATAGTTCTGTAGTTACACCACAAATGAGTAGTAATAATACTTTTCACTAATATAACACACTTCAACCTGGGATCTCAGTGAATCTTATAAAAATGGGTGGTATTGTGCCTATTTTACAAGTGGGGACACTGGGAATAGAGATTTGAAGGCAGTGAGACCTATAATTAAGCACTGGTGCAGCTATACTGATGATAGTGATGATGGAAGTTGTACTGTAAACAGGGCTTAAGCATTTTCATTGTGTTATCTATTTAACCTTGCTCAGAGCACACCTGAGCCGTCTCTACTTTACAGTTTGCACTGCTGCTACTGCCAGGAGAGCTGCACTGGTGGACTCTTTTGGTGAATCACATGTCCAGTTTTTAACAGTGTAGATGCAGCCAGAACAATTTGCTGAACATTGTGCAGAGTAGTCAGTTGAAGAGTTGGGTACAGAACTTAAGTTTTCCCACCCCAGGTTCCTTGCTCTGATTAGTAGATTCACTACCTTTTGGGAATGCAACATTTATCTTTTCCTTCATGGGGTGGGGGGGGGGAGAATCACAGAAAAATATATTCTATTTATACTTTATTTTTCAGATTTTTAAAAAAATCGTATGTTCTAATTAATAAAACAAACTGAATATACTACTTGTGGCTGAAGGATGGAAATCTGTCTACGTGAAGCCTATGGGGCAAAAGACAGAATTAAAGAAATACTAAATGTTCTCCCCAAGCCAAATAAACATAAACACCAATTCAGTCATTCTTCCTCCAATCTATCATTTTCCAAGCCATATTTCACGTTTGCTTTGGCTATTCTATAAAGCACATATTCTGCTGACATAATTTTTTTTTTGATATCTGTCTCAACTTGAAAAGTGTATATTCTACCCCAGTACAAAACTTGGGTATACTGCAATCCGGCATATTTAAGTTTAAACTCCCGGCTCTTTGAGCTGTGGTCAAGTGAAAAATTCTCTAAGTTATTTCTGTATCCTAGAATAAAGTTCACTAGAGGATTAGTGAAATATTTAAAGGAAAAAAATCACATTGAGGTCCTTACTTCTGTAAGTAGTCCTAGTAACATCCATGAGAGTAATTGCATTACTAAGTGCTACTCATCATGAGTAAGGGTTGCAAATGCTCATGTGTTATAATGACTTTTTTTTTGTATGTTTCACTTTGTGACATTGTATACATTTTATTGTTATGAGCCTGTTCACCAACAATTAAATGCCTAAACTGCTCTGTAGGGACATATGAAATGTTAAATGACAATTTCTTACCAGTCTTGTAGAAACATCTTGTGATCTGCCTGTCACACTAGTCAAGGATCAATCTACCCACTTATTTGCCTCTATTTAGACCAATAGGTAAATAATCAGTGCCCTCAGACTGGAATCTAAACTTTTGATGCATGTTTGGTATGGGTGTTAGTGTTGTCCTTACTATGTATATGACCCAGATCTTGAAATTTTTATCATGTCCGTATACTGCTGCATCTGTGCAGAGCCCCATTGAAGATGATGTGGGGCTTTGCCTGGGCATAACGGTCCACCCATCTGTTGTATATTTCAGAGTGGGAGCATATGTTATTTTTTTCACAGCATAACCCTATTGTGGTGTTAAAACAATACTACTACTACTATTAAGCTGTTTGGAATGGCTCTATCATTACAGGTGCAATCATGGTTCCATCATAAGCCTTATTTACAAATGCCCTTTCTATATATATATATTTTTTTAACGGAAACAATCTGACCTGAAAAAAATTTCTTCTTCGGATGGAGAAGATTTTATTCTGTGTATGAAATTTGAAAGAAATTGCAGTGGTCATTTTCACATTATAGATTACTTTCAAAATTAGCTAAGAAATTTACTAGAGTAAATTCTCTTGGATACCTTTTAAATTCAGAAATGGCCTGTATTTTTTATTTAAAATGTATTGTAGTTGTCTTAGTATTTGTTACTTAGGATTGTGTTTGAAGGAAAAATTCAAAACATAAGAACTTTTGTTTATTTGCTAATGATTGGGTGCGTGTCGTGTTTATATAGTGTTTCATGGAGATAGGAATCTATTTGCCACAGAGAAACTAATCTCTCTTTAGTGCAGAAAGAGATCTGTTCAGAAGACAAAAAGTACCGATAAGTGCAGAAAAAGTTTCATATAAGATCAGGGCCGGCTCCAGCATTTCTGCCGCCCCAAGCGCAAAAAAAAAAAAGCCGCGATTGGCGGTGGCAGTTTGGCAGCAGGTCCTTTGCTTCTAGAGGGAGTGAGGGACCTGCCTCCCCCGAATTGCCGCAGGTGCCGCCCCTCTTCCTTGGCCGCCCCAAGCACCTGCTTGTTAAGCTGGTGCCTGGAGCCGGTCCTGTATAAGATGTCACACATTTTTTAGGAATGGTTGTCTCAAAACACAACCTTAACTCTTTCTCAGTCCTGTCCACCCTATTAATGTGGGGGGACACACCTCATGCTATTCCTTTTCAGCACGCACATAATGAACACTAAGATGCCCTCTAATTTACAGCTGCCTTACATGGTGAAGGCATAGGATGGCTGGGCATGGAGCAGAGTTAAATTTAGGTTTTGAGAATTAATCTTGAGACCATTAATGAGAATGAATATTCTTTTCTTAAAATGATACCTATTAAACTGGGGCTTTCACAAGTCAATTGTTCTTGCTAACCAGATCTAATAAACATTATCCAGACATGACAGATTCTTGCCACCATGCTGATTATGCCCAGTACAAACCATCATCAGGAACATTCCCCTTTTCTCCTCATTTATTTTGTCATTGTTTGTTTTTCATAGTTGTTGCTCTTTTGATGTTTAATCAATAAGGGTTTATTATTTGTAGAACTAGTACCTAATATGATGAGGAAAGATGTGGTTTTCCCATGCAAAAATACATTTTCTTTTGAATTTTATGCTAATGTGTGTACAGCATGTCTTTTTCTTTAAAAAAATTAGGTGCATAAAATGTTTTAGTGTGCATCACACATGTAAATATATTTTTTCAAAATGAATGGTATCTCTAAGAAATGTTAAAGTAAATAGCAACGTGGGTTTAAAACCAGTCAGGTATGTTTGGTTGTGTGACTTCATTGAGAGAAATGTGCACTTGGAATGAAAATAAGATATTTTTTAAAAATGATTGCTCATCTGAGGCAAAATGTAGTTCTAAGACTCATGATCATGCTAGCTATATACTTTTAAAAATGGTTAAGGAACATGTCATGGTTGCTTGAAACAACAGTAAAACTGAAAAAGATAACCTTCTGCTTCAGATTTGATGAGAGAGCCTCAGCAACTTACCAGAACACCTCACACACACACAGTACTCTCATTTTATTTTTTTCTTAGTCATTTTCGTGCATAAAAGCAACCACTGTTTCTGTAGGTTTACCACAAATAGCTATTAAGAGTAATTTCGATAGTAATTAAAATTCATATATTGGGCCAATTCATCTCCTTGCACGGTAAAATCCTTTGTGGCAATCCCCCAACACCATCCCACTGGAGGGATCTGCCTGTTGCATTCTCCTTCCCCCTCTTCCCCCCCCCGCCAAAAAAAAAGACTAGTGGCTTGTTCCCTAACCCAGTGGATTTATGGCAGAATGGCTCTATGGTAGCTATACTACTAGGGACTCATGGTTGCTGTCTTCGGGGCACCCAAGTATAGCAGGGATTGGGAAGAGGATACTGCAGAAAAGAATCTCAGTGGGGCCAGAGAGGGACAATGTATATCTCTCCCCCAACGCCTGGCTCACGCCATTCCTCTCCCCAACCTGCCCAGTTTCCACTTCCTCCCCCAACATAGTTCCCAAGTGGAATGTGGTCACATCCCCTTCCTGTGCAAGAGTGGGAAGATCCATGCACCGATGGTTGAGGAAACAACCCTGGGGCATTGACTTAGTGTTACTTGTTCAGACAAGTGACA